CTGCTTGGAGAGACCAGCAGCCGGACCTGGAAACTGGTATTCCCCTGAAATGGTTTGGGTTTCCTCTTCTATTGCTCTTTCAGCTCCTCCTTTATTCCCCCTCCCTCCAAAGTTCACTTGTCCCTGGAGTATGCATTCAGAGCTTCTGCTTCTTGTGGTTTTGTCACCTCTGTTCTCAGCGCATTCTTGCTGCAGGTGGGAACTTCTGAGAAAACCCACCAAGTCTTCTCTGCAGCTGCAAAGATGGTCTTGCAGTCCCTGCTTACAAATTTAATTAGACAGGCTGCCCCTGCCCCACTATACCCCTCACTAAGGGTGTTACTGGACGCTGCAGCAGAGCCAGCAGCATCGCTCTCTTTCAGAAGGTACGCAATGGAGCACACTGAAGCATCAGGGGCATAGGCGCTGCGCTGGTGGCCTGGTGCTACATCAATGGTTCTTATGGGGAGGGGTCTGCAGGCATCTCTCCCCCAAACTTGGAAAACTATCTGCTAGTTAGAGAGTTAGGAAATCTGAAGATAGAAAATGGGTTCCCTTTTCTGGCATATTAAAGATAAAGGTAGAGACATGGGTTGTATGTTTCAGCTTTAGCTAAATATTTTGGGTCCTTAGGAAATGATTTTCAATCCCACAATACTCTGTACATTCCCCAGGTTGAATGGACACAAGGTCCCACCTCTCCTTCCCAAGTACTGTGCCCTCTGAGCATTGCCAAATGCCTGGGTCCCCCACCTCTTCCCTCCTCAGTGCTCCTCCTCCATCCGCCCCCACTGAGACCAGTCTCTTCCCTACTCCCTGGAGTTCAGGGGGTTCTGGGCTGCAGCTCTCTTTTGGTTCTCTCCACTCCTCTTTCCAGAGTATTCTCTTCCCCACCCTCTACAAATGGCACTGGGGATTGAACCCAGAAGCTTGCACTTAGTAGGCAAGTGCTCTACCACATGATCTGTGCTCCCAGCCCCCCTAACTTCTGAAGTTCCCATTGTCCAAACATACTGCCCCCTCTTTGCTGCCATACTCTGGCTTCCTGGTCTTTCTCTGTCTCCCTAGTGCTGTCATTCTTGGAGACTTCACTAGCTTAAGTGTCCTGCCTCCTGATCTCAGTTCCTTACTCCCTCAGTCTTTCCTCCTTGTTAGCTCCCATGGTCCCAGCATGCACCTTGCCAACTTCAAAAGCTGCACTACGTGTTCTCCCTGAGATTTGGCAACCCCTCTTAGTCTCCCTTCTCTCCTTTCCTCAGCTGATGACTCTCTTCCTGCCTCTGTTTAACAGCAGCTCTCAAAGGAGACACTGCTCCAATCTTGTCACCACCCAACCTTTGCTCTTCCTGCATTGGCTGTCACCCTCCTTCTTTCTTCCTCAACTGAGACACTCCCTCCACATGGCCCCTGACCCCTGCATCCTTCAACTACCTGTCTCGTTTTTTGGTTTTTTTTTTTTTGGTGATGGTGGTACTGGGGTTGAAGCCAGGGCTTCATGCTTGTGAGGCAGGCACTCTACTGATTGAGGCATCCTCCAGCCCATTTGCTTCTTTAACAATCAGTGCTTTCTGTGTCTTCTGTTTCCATGGATCATTTTCATCAATTTGCTAACATCCATACTTCTCTTGACTTTGTAACCCACCCTTCACTTAATCCTGTTTCAGTAAATGTTCATATATTGGGGGAAAACTCTTAGGAATCATGAGTCACCCTTGAATTTTCATCTTGCTACATCCAATCCATCTTTAAGACCAGTGGGTTCTACTTCTAGAGTGTATGCTCACTTGCATCATCCTGCTCCAAACCAGCATTTTCCCTTGAATCAGCTACTGAAAGTTTCCTAACTGATCTTGGCTTCCCTTCTTGCTACCATCTTCTCTATCCTATGGCCAGATGAGCTTTCTACAACATAAACCAGTGCCATTCCTTTGCTAATTAGCCTTCAGTGGCTCTCCATGGCCTACAAACTGGGCCCTCCCTCCTCAGGTTCAATTGCCTTTTTTTTTTTTTTTTTGCAGTACTAGGGTTTGAACTCAGGGCTTACACCCTTTTTGTGTGATTTATTTTTTCCCCCTGAGATAGGGTCTCGGGAACTATTTGCCTGGGCTGGCTATGAAACGTGATCCTCCTGATCTCTGCCTCCTGAGTAGCTAGGATTGCAGGCGTGGGTGGTGGTCCTTTTGCTTCTTGAGGGAATATTCTTTCCTGTCTGAAAATGTGCTGTTCTGCCTAGAATGTTTTTCTCTTACTTCACTTTTTTCACTTTCTCATTCATTGGCTTTCTGATTAAGAGAAGCCTTCCCTGACATCTTATCCTTAAGGTCTCCTTGTCTGTCTCTTATTGTTGCACTCTGTTCATTTTGGTATGGCCAAACCTATCCCAATTTGTAATGACATATTTGTATGTTTACTTATTTTCTGTCTCTTCCATTAGCTTACGTTCCTTGGGGTTAGGTTTCTAGGGTCTAGCACAGCATGTGGTACAAAGGAAGAACTCTTTAAATGAAATAGCCAACAGGGAAGAGGTAGTGATGGGGTTAACAGAGCAAGCTGTGAACAGCTGCTTCCCTAATGGAATCTGCTGTTTTCCTTTCCTTATCCAAGACAATTTGGCATAGAAGTAGTTATTCACATGTGCAGAATCCAGCAGTTTTGGGATCAGATGTGGGTGGATTTCTGTTGTTTTGAGTTCTGCTGTCCCCATGAACCCTCCTTGTACAGAGTACTTTGTATCTAATATTGGTTTTTCAGAAAAGTAAAAAACAGCATGGTATAGTTCAGATAACAGAATACCTAACAGTGGTATAAGAAATAAAGACATTTATCTCTTGAGACAAGAATATGGAGCCATGAAGGTTCCTAGGTTGGTCTAGTCATTCAAAGATGTTGTCAAGAACCTGGTCTTTCCTTCCTTCTGTTTTGCCATTGACTTTGTCTTCATGCTTGCCTCTCATAGTCATAAGATGGCTGCTGCAGCTGTAGGCATCACAGCTGTCTACAAAAGTATCAAAAGCAGAAAGGGATGGAAATGGGAGCAGAGCTCTCCCCTTGGGTCTCTCCTTTTGCCAAGAAGTAAAGCTTTCCTGAAGGTTCTCTAGTAGACTTCCTTTTATGTCTCATTGGTCAGAACACCTCACTATCTACCCTAATTACTGATAAGACAATGGAAGCACCATGATTTGCTAACCCCAAGTAGAATCCATCCACCAAGGCTGATTAGCTGAACTCTGCCTCAGCACTGCTGAGTCGCCTGAGGGGCAGAGCTGTGGTGTAACTCAAGCAGTTGCCTCATGGGCATGAACCCTAAGGCTCTAAGTGCTTGGCCTTCAGGAGGCTTTCCTGTTGTCCTGTGGATGTGTTATTCCCATCTCTGGTGAGGCAATGGCATAGAATAACATTTTTAAAAAAGCTTTGCATTCCTGAATAAGGAGGGAAGCAGAAAGGGTTTGGAAATAGGTGGATTCACTGGCCAAGAAAACTTCAGTGAGCAACTGAGCCCAGCGGGCCATTTGTAGTAAAGGCCTCCGCTACTGCCTATTTCTGAGAGAAGCTCGCTCCTGGAGCAGAAAAGACCAGAGATCACTATGCAAGAACTCAGTTAGCTTCCTTACCAAACTGTATTAGTTCTCTTGCTTGTCCAGGCTGCTGCATCAAGTATTCCTAGTAAGTATAGTATTGCTTTACTCTATCAGATAACAGGGCTGAGGGTACAGCTCAAGCGGTGGAGTGCTTGCCTAGCATGTGCAAAGCCCTGTGTTCAATCTCCAGTATGGGGGTGGGGGTGGAAAACAAGTGAATGTATTCATAAGGGCCATACTAATAAGAACCTTCTATGTACTGGGCACTGTGCTAGGCCCTGCGGATGCCGGTACAAAGAGACTGTTCTTAGGAGGCTGTCATTCTGGTTGGGGGAAACATGTTACATAAATAGGCTCTGTGACAAGTGTGTGTTTGGGGCTAGAGAATGGAATGGTGACCAGAAAAGGAGGTGACCCTTGAGAGGAACTGATGTTTTGGTTGATGTTGAAAGAGGACCCAAAAGAGAGCCAGCAATCAGGAACTGGGTAGGTGACACTAAAGCCTGTAGGGCTATGCATACTATGCCAATGAGTCCGAGCTTTATCCTACAGGTATGCCCGAAGGTACTGTGACTCATACATACATATTATGGACAAGTTATTAGTATTTACTTGCTGATTTTTATCAGTTCTGCTGCTAACAGTTCTCTGTAGACAAAGGCACTGCTAGACCTTTTATTCCTACAGTTTGTAGAGATATTCAGAAATAATTCTGCCTATAGTCTGAAGCAAACTTCTTGTGGTATTTGTGGGAGAAGAGATGCTTGTCCAGAGCCATGGGTAGTGCTGCTTGGGCTCCTCAGGCCTTTGTTCAATTGTTACCTTACCAATGAAGCCCTCCTTGACCAACCTCTTTAAAAAATAAAAGCTATCCCTCTCAAGTCCTGATCTTCCTTACTCTGCCTTTTCATTTTCATACTATAAGTATTTCCATACTATTTGCTAATTATGTTCCCCTTGCTAAAATGTAGGTCTCTTTAACATTTGGTGAGGGTGTGACTCAAGTGGGAAAGCACTTGCCTAGGAAGTACAAGACCCTGAGTTCAAACCCTAGTGCATTTGGTAGAGATCTGTGTGTTCTGTTCACTGTTGTATCTCAACTACCTAGAACAGCACCTGATAGAAGACCTAGACTCAAAGGTCAGTACCAAGGTAATTTGAAAGTTTCCCCTTAAGGTGTCTTCAACTCTTGTCATTGACTGTCCTTTGTCACTAAACAGAAATGAGTTACTAAGTTAAGAATGAAAATCTTACTGAGCTGGCTAGAGCTGCTCACACCTGCTTGCCTGTCTAGTGTTTAAGGTAATGACCGTGGTGCCCCAGAGGTTGAACTTCAAGGGTATTAGGATTAAAGTGCCATGAAACAAAAGCAGAGGTGGGCTCTTGGGTTTTGGTTGCAGAGTACTGTAAACTGACCATAACAGATGATGTTCTTTTATACAGGTATAAAAGTTTGGTCACTGGGACACGAGCAAGAGTGGTCATTGCTGTCCTCTGGGTCCTTGCCTTTGGCATTGGATTGACTCCGTTCCTGGGGTGGAACAGTAAAGACAGTGCCACCAACAACTGCACGGAGTCCTGGGATGGAACCATAAATGAAAGCTGCTGCCCTGTGAAGTGTCTCTTTGAAAATGTGGTCCCCATGAGCTACATGGTATACTTCAATTTCTTTGGGTGTGTCCTGCCCCCACTGCTAATAATGCTGATGATCTACATCAAGATCTTTATGGTGGCCTGCAGGCAACTTCAGCGCACGGAATTGATGGACCACTCAAGGACCACCCTCCAGCGGGAGATCCATGCAGCCAAGTCACTGGCCATGATCGTGGGGATTTTTGCTCTATGCTGGCTACCAGTACATGCTATCAACTGTGTCTCTCTTTTTCAGCCAGCTCTGGCTAAGAATAAACCCAAGTGGGCAATGAATGTGGCCATTCTCCTGTCACATGCAAATTCAGTTGTCAATCCCATTGTCTATGCCTACCGGAACCGAGACTTCCGCTACACTTTTCACAAAATCATCTCCAGATACATTCTCTGTCAGACAGATATCAAAAGTGGAAATGGGCAGGCCGGGACACAGCCTGCTCTTAATGTGGGCTTATGACCTAGGCTCTGGCCTCTTGGAGAAGGCTCAAATTCATAATAAAGAACAGAACAGGACACAACGCTGATTCTTACTGTGAAAGATAGCCACAAGCCTATGCTTTTGAGCATGCTCCAAGGGTTGACAAATAGATTTATGATTCTATTGGGCTGCTCTTACTGTGTGGAGGATGCTGACGACTTGAATGGATTCTAAAAGACTATTGTTAAGAATCTGCCTCATTCATGGTAGAAAATGACAAACTATTTTACTGTGAAATACTGTGAATTATTATGCAATTTTTTTTTTTTTACTTAAAGGTAAGGGGGAAAAAAAAGTTGGCTGTAGTAATCTATACTTGTTCCCAGGAAGACAACTAAGAAAACTAAAAACATAATTCTTCAATCAAGAAACTGCTATATTTAGGGAATGATACTCTCCTAAGTAGAACTATCATCAAGTAATTTTAAGCTCCATTCTTTTCCATTTGTAAAACACTAGAGGAAGAAACTGGAGAAATGGGAGCCTTTCTCCATTGGATTCCCCTTTCTAGAGCTAGGAACTGAATTTTGCTTCTCTCCCAAGTTCAAGTTTGGCCAGTTACTAGAACTGAAAGTATGAAAATTAGGTAAAGTTACATAACTGTGTGTGTATATTCAGTGAAATAAAAACACTTAAAAACAAGCTTAGGGTGCTTCAATGACTTGCTATACACAGCTGTACTACTGTTTGTCAATACTTTACCCTGAAAGCTGCTTAAAAAAAAGTAAGTTGGTAACTCAGTCCAAGTTTCCCAATTAACAAAGTCGTCAGTCTCACTCTCCCGCAATACCTCAATGTAATACAGGGCTCTGCCAATCAGCACTGCAACATGCTTAGCCTTGGGCTTTTCACCCAGCCATTTATTCATTAGCATCCTGTGGTTTTGGAGCACAAGGATAGGAGTTTCCTAGGCTGTAGTCATTCATTTCATCTGTCTGTTCATTTCTTCAGCTCCTGCAAGGATACTGTAGATTTATGAGCCCCTCCAGGGACAGGGAATTCCTGTCCCCCTACAATCCTCTTTTGGTTTTGGATGACTTTACCTATATTAGGTTCTTGTTGTGGGCTGAACCTGTCTCATTTTCATGTTATCATTGCTGCTTTGCTCTCTTGGGGCCCATCTGGTACCTATTATTTTGTCTTTTCTTCTTCAAACTGAAAATCCCTAGTAGTATCCAGATGCTTTCCAGAATGCAATTTTTAGTCTGTTACTTTGTTTTTCCTGTTATAAAGCTCAGAAACGCTCTCACAGCAAACCCAGCTCTGCCCTTGTTCTTCATACTACCTTTAACAATATAGCCTACTTAAGTTGTTTTGACCCCAACACCACTGATATCTGAAGCTTAGTGAATCCAGGACCTTGCTGTTTAGCCATGTCTTTGCCCTAATCTTTTATTGCTGCTCAGTAACTTTCTGGGCCTGAGGAAAATAACCAACACCTATTTACATAAACTTACTCGTATTCAGTTTGGCCTAACATCCCAACCTTTTAAAAATCACTGGTAATTCAGTCACTTAAGAACCTAATTGTGGACACAACATTGCATTTGAATCTATAATTCTTGATTCCATTGAGAGACAATTTTTCATGAGGAGACTGCAGAGGGCTCCCAACCATGCATGCACCCTCCCCAGTCCAAAGCAACAACCCTCCTGGACTGTAGGAAGGAAAACAAGAAGTCTCTGGAAGATCCACTTTACTTCTTCCTTATGGACCATGATGTGTTACATGTGTCTCTTGATGGGCTTCTGGTTTGAATGAAAACAATGCTCCGTCTGCACCTTTTATGCTTCTTGTTTCTTCTCTGTCAGTATTTCAGTCAGTTGCTTGTCAGAGACACTGAGCTGCTGACAGGTCCTCATAACCCGACTAAGATAAACTGCCAAGAGATGCTTGCACTGTAATATGAGATGCAAACCTGTTAGGAACAGGCAGGGCCACAGCTGGCCAGTCTAACCTAGAACTCTCACTACTATAACATGAAAGAGGAAAAGAAAGTGTGCTGTGGTTTTTTTACTCCTTGCCTTCAAAAAGCAGTCACAGCCATGGCTAACATTACTTGAGGTATTATGCTCTCGTGCTCCTCACAGATAATCTCATTTAAATCTGACAGCCACCCCACGAGGACAGGCATTAACCTCATTTCAACCATATGCTTAGAGCCTACTGTCTACTTCATTAGCCATTGTTTACATTTCTGCGGTGGGGCAAGAGTGGTGGTAAAACACCCACATGTATGTGGCGTGCACACAGCTCTGGGGCGATGACTGTTGGCCCTTACGTCACAGAACATAGCTTTAGATCTCGAAGGGGCCTTGATTCAGTTCTGTCATTTTATAGGCAAAATACAGACATGTCAACTATGAATGTGGCCTGCTGTACAACAGGAGCTCCAACCTGGCACCCAGTTCTCAAGAGGTTTAAGAAGCTAACAGTGTAAAAGAAGGGGAATAGCATTCTTGCTCTCACTGAGGACCACCCAGTTTCAGTCTATTGAAAATGCACTTTCTTAATAAACTTTGCTATCATTTTCACTTAAAAAGAAGGGGAAGAATGGAGTGGACTCCATTATTTTCTTCTTTGTTGAGACTTTAAGAAACAGAAACCTCTTAGAAGTACTGTTCTTCCCTTTGGATTAAAGAGTGTGAATATGTCTTGCCCCTGCCTGATGCTGCAGACTCTGATAAAATTGGCAACGGCTTTCTTTATAGGGATAGAAAAAGGCACTCTTGCCCTGTGTGATGGAACAGAGTGGTGCCAGGCCATCTTACAAACAGAGGGAAGATACACGGCATGGCTAGAGTTGGGGATATGCAGTTACGAAAATTCAATTTAGTTCGTATTTTTATCAGGCTATTTGATTCCCCATCTGACTTCCAGGATTACCTTCTTGTCTTCTCCAAAGTTTTTATCTGTGGTCTTGTAAATTAAAAAAAAAAAAAAAAAAAAAGCAGGAAACTGATGCAGTTCTAAAAATGGACAAGGCATTTGGGAGGCTAAACCCAGAAGAGATGACTAATGACAAGGACAACAAACTTCTATTTGTTTCAACATAACAGTAAAATTCCCATTTTGTGAAACTCTTAGACCACAAAATAGGGGCCGACAGTTTTCCGACAGTTTTTCTCCTGGTCTGCCTACAGTGGTAAGAGCCTCTCCCATCCTTACCAGTAAGCTATCACTTTTCCGCAGCACTGAGAAGGCAAATGCAGGGCACGAACAATAATGACAAGAAGCCAAACATATATACGTTTTACCAGAACTTCCAAGTACCTGGAAAGAAAAGGACAGATGGGATCAGACCTCAGGTGTGCTTCTGGGTACCACTTCTTTGCCATGCTTTATCCATTTAATAACTCCGCTGCCTGCAGACTTCACTGGGAAGAACTATAGTGTTTCACATAAAAAAGGAAAACTCAACTTCTTTTCCCTCCAGAGTGCACGCTTTCTTATCTCTTCACACTCTGCCCTTTAGGACTTCAGAACATGGAGGTGAAGAGTTTCAGGATAGTTCAACCATCTACACAAACCATTTTGTTCCTATGCTTAGTGATCCATGCACTATCAAAAGAGTCCCTGGATGGGAAAGCTCTCATCTATTTTTTTTTTTTAAGTACTGGAATTTGAACACACTAGGCAGGCGCTCTACCACTTAAGCCACTCCACCAGCCCTTTTTTTTTTGTGTATTAGGTATTTTTGAGATAGGGTCTTGCTTTTTTGCCTAGGGTGGCCTTAGACCACAATCCTCCTGAACTTTGCCTCCTGAGTAGCTAGGATTACAGGCATAAGCCACTGGCGCCTGGCTCTCATCTACATTTTATTGTGGGGTTTCTTAACCTTTGGTATTTTACAGCATGTGTGTAAATTTCTAAAGCTTCCATCACATACCCAAAAAGAGTATGAGAATAGATAGAGTAAGTGATGGGACAGAAATAGGATAGGTCTCAGAAAGAAAAGAAGGGCTTCTGAAAAGCATTTAAGAATTGGAAGAATAAATGAAGCAAGGAATCTTGCAAAAGGAATGACTTAGCTTCTCAGGATGGAGGTCTCACGAAAAGAGGCAAGCCCAGATCTGCCTACTCATCTAGCAGGGTGGAAGGAGGACACAGATATGTGTGTGGAGTGATTGGTAAGAAGCCAGGTCTAAGAACAGCCTTGGTGGCAGACAAGAGGAACAAAAAGGAGAGACAAAGTTTGTCAGTCTGTGTGTGACTGACAAACTTGTTGGAGAAGTCTACAAAACTAAGTAGCCAAAACTTTTTGTTGGGAACTTGCTATGGTTTGGGTTTGTTACCAGCTTGTGACACTACTGGACCAATAAAGGGTGGGGTATAATGCAAGGAAGTTAGGTCATTGGGGGTGTGCCCTTGAAGGGGGTATTAGGACCTCAGACCCTACCCTCTCTCTCTGTTCCTGATTGCCATGAGGTGATCAGGCCTCCACTACCTGTCTTATCATGATATGTTGTGCTGCCACAGGCCCAAAGCAATAGGGTCAATAAACCATAGACTAAAACCACTGAAACCATGACCCAAAACAAACTTTTCCTCTTTTCAAGTTGATTCATGCCAGGTACTTATTATACTGATCGAAAGCTGACTAATGCAGGGCTTTATTCCTAGAGTTAATTTCCAAACTGGAAGTAGAAGATTATTATTAGTATCCAAGGGACGTAGAAATATCCCAAGGCTTATTTTACAATGGGCTGCCATGGAGCCTTCAAGTTAGAGTTAGGCTGTAAAATGACAATCTAAAATAAAAAAGTCAAGAGTAAAAAAAATTTTTTTAATGTCAGGACTCCCAAGATTCTTCTTTTCCCCCAGAGAGTTTAAAGTAACAGGTAAAGCTTCAACTGTAGAAGAAATATAGCAGGTTCAAGTGCTGTGTTCCTGTTTGTCACATGCTCAGTGGTTCATATGATGTAGCCATTTTGGTGCAGTGTTTTGTCTTTTTTTTTAACCAAGTTGGCAGAATTCATTGGGGGTTGTTAGATTACCAGGGTTGCAATGATCGAGCAAGAAAATGCCTATTACACCCATTAAAGATTTCAGCCCCAGTTTTAAATTGGGTATGGAAAAACCACACCTTACATAGTTTTTATCACAAGGCCTTTGTATGTTATGAACTTCTTACTCACACCTCTCAGTATCAATAGGGCAATTTCCCTAGTGTATCTGGAAGACTTAAACTGCATGGACAGTATTAAAGAAGATTGTTTCCCACCTCATCCTAAAGAAAACTCACCAACTTCCAACAGTGACATGAACAATCTATGGATCTCCAAACTATTACTAATAAATAAAATTATAGATTCTTCTTCCTTTAGTATTCTGTGCTTTTTCCTCTCTAGATTTAAACTTAAGCAGACATAAGCTTCTGGGATTTGGCACTGACTTGAATGATTCAGTGGTTCCTTCTTATTGCAGGTCCCCAATCCGTCAGATGCTCCCTGGACTATGTTTAACAAATGGCTGGTGATGTAGGGATGGGAGTGAATTCTTCAGAGGTTCCCTTGCCTGAGTCTTTCAAAGGTTGGCTGAGACTCAAAGTCAACTATTCAATGGCTTGAGGCAGTAAATACGGTAAAGAGTAATTTTTGAATTTTTCTTCATTGAGTAGTGAACAACAATTGAACCCAATAATCAGGCAAAAATCTGAGTTGGAAATGTTTAGAACTGGAAATTTACCTAAGGGATAATTTAATTCAGTCCCTTTACTCTTCAATGGAAAATGACCCTCTTACAGGAATTGCTGCTAGTTCTTCTACTCATTGTCTGGAATGTTTATCCCCAGAAGAAATGAGATTTTTAAGAAAAAACACGCAGAAAAGAAGATACTCAAGGCCGTGATGGAACTTGTAGGTGTCACTTGGAAGTCTGCTATGACTTGTTAGGTTCTAAGGAGGGCGACTATCTCGATGGTCATCCATTCACAAGTACAATTTTATTTTATGACCATTCCAAGCCTCTTAGGGTACTTTACAGTGGCAAGCTGAATTATTCATTGTTTCCTATATTTAGTGCCTTTCTCTGGAAAAAGGATTATACATTCCTGTTCTACTGAATACAGAATGGCTATGTGACTTGTGTTTGCCAGCAAAATGTAAGTACCCAAGAAAACCATTAAAAAGTGCAGCATACCATGTTCTCTTTTCTCCCTGCTATGAGTGCTACAATGTTCCACATTTCCCAGTTGCTTTACCAACTGGGATCCCTCTGTGAAGGTGTGTTGAAGCAGAGCTGCAATCAACTCTTGATGGACATGTGGCATGAATGAGATATAAAAGTTTGTTTCTATAAGACTTTCAGATTTGGAGGACATTGTTACCAAATTACTTAGCCTCTCTTGATCAAAGCATCCACCTTCTTAAGTGAGGCAAAAATGTCTAAAAAGCAGCTCAGGAGACAGAAACAAAATGATGACTTTAGAATAATTACACATTACACCTGGAGGACAGTAAGACTATTAGGGCTGACCTATGGAATAAATGTTGAGTTATGGGAAGATAACTACCTGAGTATCAAGGTGGTAGTGTCTGACTCAACTTTCATTGTCCTTATACAACCCCTGAATTAAGCCATTTCTTACTATATTGCTATACAGTGCAACCTACCATGAAAATGTATGAGATTTCTACAGTCTCATTTAATTCAAAGTGCACACTGAGAGCTACAACTCTAGAATTTACCTTTTTTTTTTTTTTTGACAGCATTAGGGTTTGAACTCAGGGCCTCACATTTGCTAGACATGCACTCACCACTTGAGTCACTCCACTAGTCCTTTTTTGTGATGGGTTTTTTTCCAGATAGGATCTCTCAAACTATATGCCTGGGGCTGGCTTTGAACCACGATCCTCCTGAGTAGCTAGGATTACAGGCATGAGCCATTAGTGCAGCTAGAATTTAGCATTTTTATGAATAATAAAGCAATTTAATACAGATGTGAATAACAAACTAAACATTCACATTAATTACTGGGCGGAACAAAAAGTCCATGGAAACAAAGTTAAGGTACTTAAAATATTTTAAATGAGAGCTTTAAGATTTCAAGTAATAACCAGATCACAGAACTAGAGGACAGGAAGAAATCTGCTTGCCCAGATCAAGTGCTGAAAAGAGAACTGTGACCAAAATCCTAAAACCAATAGACATGGGAAAAACTTGAAGTGTCCTCTAGTTTCCAGTATTTTAGCTACATAAAAAACATAAAACCCCAGGAAAGAAAACAGAAATACCTCCTCAGGCACAAACAATAAATTCAGTGACTGTGATTTTTCATCTTAAGCACACATGAGAAAACGCTTCTACTAGGCAGTCTCTTTTGAGTAGCAAAGTATCATCCAAAAGTTTTAACTGTAGTGGCCAACACTACTTCGTTTCCCTTAATAAAGAAACACATGTTGTTTTGCCAGGTCAATGAAGTTAGGCTACAATGTGGAACAGCAGACGAGTTAATTCACTAAGCAAAGGCACATACTTGTCCAAGTAAGTTTTGCTCAAGTCATTCACTCTCTAAGAATGAATTGACATGGTTTCTCAATAAGAGTTAAATGACAAGGTCTAAGTTCTGAGAAGTTCACTGTAAATACACCAGAATCCAAACAATTAAAAATTTCTTCTGGCCTGGTCTTCAGCAAGGCCTGAATAACAGATGAGCTGATGGCTGCTTTTTTAGTCCTTTTAGGCCAGACATGAAACTTTGGATGTCATTGCCATTATTTTCACTTCATTCCTAAGATTTCCTCAATCCCAGCTGCTATCCTGGGGGAGTAGGTGGATAGTTTAGTCTATTGTTTCATCTTTATTCTAGTCTCAGATTATAAAACAGGCAGTGTGAGGTAGCTAGATGTGCCTATTCTTTACTGTTCTATTTCAGTTTCTTGCAAAACAAATACTTTGTTGGTTTTTTTTTTAATGAGAATTATCAATAATACATGAAAGCAATTCAGAATCAGGCAACAGGCATCCCAAATATACATATCCCTATTGTAAACTATAAGAGGGCAAAACTAAGATCCAAGTAGACTGCCTGCATTCAGCAGTTTGACCCTTAATAAATATTTCTTGACATCAGTTTGAAAGCTTATTGCTGATACATTATTCTGTGGATCTGGAAAGACCTTAAAGTGCATTTTGACTTTTGTCCATAAGCAAAAGATTGTGAACAGGATGAAATTGGCAATAAATTTATTGGGGGATGCCTCTTTTATCAACAACAAGAAAGCAAAAGTTGACTCTCTTCTATTACACCTGAGAAAAAAGCCTCTCTACATCACTGCTAGCTCTATACAATGTTACTGGTCATATTTATCTTAACTACTAAAATGCCTAGAGATATTATGTTAAGTGAAATAAGCCAGACAAAGAAAGACAAAATACTGCATGATCTCACTTATATGTGGAATCTAAAAATAGTTGAACTCATAGAAGCAAAAAAGTAGAATGCTGGCTTCCAGGGCATAGAGGGATAGAGGAGAGGAAGTTAGGGAGATGTTGGTCAAAGGTAAAAAAATTTCAGTTAGGAAGGAGGAATAAGTTCAGAAGATCTACTGCTAAAACAATGACTATAACTAAGAGAATAGATTTTATATATTCGCACCACAAAAAATTAAATACGTGAGGTAGCAGATAGGTTAACAGCCTGATTTAAGTCATCTCACAAGGCATACATATATCAAAACACCATTTTATATGACACATAGTTTTTGTCAATTTAAAATAAATAAAATTAAAATTATTAATGTTAACTTTATTAAGTTGGGTTAAAAGCTTTTCAACAGTCCAGAAAATACTTCAAGCTGGTCACCACCAGCTTGCACAGAGATTCATGAAGAGATTCATGTCCTAAGGGGTTTCTGTTGAGATCATTCCCACCTACAGACTCCTACCTGGTAAATACACCGTCCACTGGGTGATGAAATTAAAGTGATGGACTTTCGATCAACTAGGTCCAAGGCCTGGATGGCTGACGAGCCAAAGATGAACTTCAGCCTGGGAATACAAATGCTCTGGGTTAAGGTCTGATTCTGTTGCCTCAGTAACTTGACCCAAATCACCCTCAGTGTTTTTTTTTAATGTGATGTATATATGCAAGTAAGTGTCACTTATTTCTAGGTAGCTTCTACTTTTTTTTGTTAGTAATGAAAGTATAATTATATTTTTGGATTTTGTGATATAAAGGAAAATGATATTTGATTTCTGTATTTTTGCTGATAGGGTAAGGCAGGACGATCATGAGTTTGAGGCCAACTTGGGCTACAAAGTGAGACCTTGTGTTTAAAAAAACAATAACACAACAACTCACCAAACCAATTTCTGTATTTTTAAAATACGGCCACTCTATTTTATTCTCTTTTTAAAGTAGTTATATCAGCTACAAATAACAATTCTTTCCTTAAAGATAAGTACACTTCTGTTTTTTCACGTTAGTGCTAGTGAAAGTTAACGATTTCTAGAGTGGCAAACAGGACAATACAGGAATGCCTGGTGCTGTCCAATACGATGTTGGCTATTCACAAGGGATTTTTAATAATCATGTCAAAAAATACTATTCCTAGTTTTCCCAGCATAGAAAAACTATTTATTTTAAAAAATCAAGAGTTGCTACTTTAAGGGTTTGGCTCTTAAAACACATTAATGATTAATAAAATATCAAATATAGCAAAGTGTGGACTTACGATAATAGATGCTCATCCGGAACTGTAAAATGGGAATGGAAAAAGTTGTTAAACTATTGACCACAGACAAAAAAATCTTAAAAAGACAAATCAGCCTTCGGTGTAAGATGATGAATTGAACCTACGCTTCTAATTTTACTCCTTCCCCAAATCTCATAAAAGCAGTAATTTAAAAAAATTTAAAAACATCATTCATTCCCAAGGATGAGAAAGACAGGGAGAAACAACAGCTAAGATACACTGGAAGCTGATAGAAGAGTAGAAAATAATTTATAAGACCTCAGAAAACAATCTTAAGCAAGCAGTGGTGAGAGCCAAGAGCCAATCAGCAACCTGACTTGTATTCCAGGCTCCACTACCTCTCCTCTACATATCCCTTCCTTCAAAAGAAACCCTCAGAAATTGGTGTCTTCAGATAGCTCTGGAATTGGGGATCAAGCGAGCACACTAAAGTAAGAAATATTCTTTGAAAGTAAGCTAAAGTAAGCTTAAGAAGTATTAGGATCCCAGCTCTCCTCCTTATATGTAGTTGACTGCCTCTCCCTCGTTCTGGCTACAGATAAGGCTTATTTTCTGGAGAGATTCAAACAAAGGATATCTGTACTAGGGGGAAATACCAGGCCCAGTGGAGCCTAAAGTAGTGTCACCCAAAAAACAGAGGAGCCTCCTGCTTTCTTCCCCATCATGGCTACAGTAAACACAAGCAATCAGGCTTGTGTTTTTTTTTTGGAGATACTGGGTATTGAACCCAAGATCTTGCACATGTTATACAAGCACTCTATACCCCTAGCCTGTAATCAGACCTTCACCTTCTGAGCAGGAGGTTAGAAGTCTTCCCTGGGCAATCTGACCAGCTCAAAAGGAATGACATTGGAATGTTTTCCCCAACTAAGTAGTCTAGTGAAAACAACTACAGTGACATTGAGCATACATATACTCCTCCACACCCAGTATCCCACTCTTAAACATGACCCGACAACTAAGGATTACCAGACAACAAAGGGAAGAAGACATTACAAAACAAACAGAAGCTAATTAGAGGAAAACTGCAGAGAGAAGAAAATTTCAACCTATTATTAATATCATCAAGAGAAAAAAACAAGCTAATGCAATCACAAACCAGGCACAAAATATAATAAAGGAATCTTTGGAGAAAAAGTTACAAATTAAGTATGACAGCAGAAACAACAATTTAAAAAAACTACATAGAAGATCTGGGAAGACACAGTTGAAGAAAGTTCCCAGGAAGTAGAGAAAATAAAAAAGATAAAATATAGGAGAGCTGGTAAGTCACTCAGAGGGACAATAAAGGACATTCAGTGACTGAATAATAGGAACACTAGAAAGAAAAGGATGAGGAAATGCATCCATCAAGTAAATCAAGGAAACTTCAAGGACTGAAAGATACATTTCTAGCTTGAAAGGATCCACTGAGTACCCACCTTGTATAGTGAAAAAACAAAAAGTTTTTCTGAAGATTCAGAACACTCAGAAGATATAGTTGGCTCTCCATATCAATTTGTTCCACATCCATAAACTCAACTAGACTTTGATCAAAAACAATTCAAGAGGCTGGGAATATGCCTATAATCTCAGCACTTGGCAGCCTGATGCAGGAGGATCATGAGTTCTAGAGCTACAGAGTGAGATCCCGTCTCAACAAACAAACAAACACCAACAATGAAAACCCTGTGCCTGTATTAAACATGTAAAGACATCGCTTCTCGGCCTTTTGGCTAAGATCAAGTGTAAACATGTAAAGATTTTTTTGGTCATTATTCTAAGCAATACAACTATACTGACAGAGCATTTACACTGTACCAGGTATTATGAGTAATCTAGAGGTAACTTTAAAGTATATGGGAGGATGTGCATAGGTGTGCAGGTTATATGCCATTTTACATAAGGGATATGAGTATCAGTCATATCCACGGAGGGCCCTGCAATCCATCCTCCAAGGATACTGAGGGACAAGTATAATTTTAGCTTGCAGAAAAAATAAAGGTCACATACAAGAATCGAGAGGCCTGGCGCCACTAGTTCACACTTGCAATACTAACTGCTCAGAAGGCAGAGATCAGGAGGATTGCAGTTCGAGGCCAGCCCAGGCAAACAGATTGAGAGCTCCTATCTGAAAAATACCCAACACAATAAAGGACTGGTGGAGTGGCTCAAGTGGCAGAGCACCTCCCTAGCAAGTGTGAGACCCTGAGTTCAAGCCCCAGTACTGCCCCCTCCCCACAAAATAAATCAGGAGCAACACTAGAAGCTAGTGGAATAATGCTTTCAGATGTTTGAAGAAATATTATTTCCAACATATAACTTAATACCTAGCCAACCTATCAATTAAATTTGAGGTAGAAAAAAACTTTTTCAGACATGCAAAACCTCAAAAAGTACATTTCATGCCCACTTCTTTAGGAAGTACTAGAGTATGTGTTCCATAAAGTAAGAAAAAAAAAAAAGAAATAAAATATACTAAACAGAAGGCCCAACAGAGGTAAAGAGAATTACCAGGATAATAACAGTGAATGATGGGAAAGCTCAGGCTAGAGCTGACAGATCAGTTAGTCCATATGAGGCGAGTCAGAAAACTCTAGGAGAGAGTTCTCAGGAAAACAAAAACAGAACATCTCGTTCACTGGAGCACCTTTTGAGTGGAGATTTACAACACTGGTAGAGTTTGAGGTTGAATTATGCATTAATATATAGAAAACAACAAATCAAAATCAACATGGTTCTAATTCCAGGAAAACAAAAAGTCGTACAAGAAAAGTAATCACAGCTTCCTGCATGGCTCAGTTGTGACTAGTTTACACATCAGCATACAAGTGTAAACTTGGAATGATGATCTAAAGAAAGCTACTACTGAAGTTGGGTGCTCACGCCTGTAATCTTAGCTACCTGGTAGGCTGAGATTGGGAGGATCTTTGTTTAAGGCCAGTTGGACAAAAAGCTTTTGAGACTATCTCAATAGAAAAAAGCTTAATGTAGTGGTGGACACTTGTCATCCCAGCAATGGCAGGAAGGTTAAAATAGAAGGATCGTGATCCAGGCTGGCCTAGGCAAAAAGCAAGATAACCAGAGTGAAAAGGGCTGGCAGCGTGGCTCAAGTGGCAGAGCACCTGCCTTGCAAGTGTGAGATCCTGTGTTCAAAACCCCAATTATCCCCCACCACCACACACAAAATAAAAATTACCACTGACAAATTAAGGGTATATGACTACCTAGAACTAAGATTTTGAAAAGCAGAAAACAATTTTGCTGGGCTGGGGATGTAACTCAGTGGTAGAGTGTTTGCACAGCATAAACAAGGCCCTGGGTTCCACCCCCATCATGGTTTAAAAAAAAAAACAAAACCACAAACTTGTCACAAAATAGTTCAACTAAAAACAAACAGCAGTCAATGACAGTGGTCCCTGTGTCTGAGCCATGGGTGTCAAAGGCACCTTTTGGGCTCCCTTCAAGATTGTCTGTGTTTGAATTAATCCACTCTGGCACTGCTTTGGTAAAGTGGATACCATTTCAAAACCTCAGACCATCAATGGTAGAGTCCAAGAAGCACTGCTTAAGCTGACAGCATTTTGGCTGTCCCCTCTATCCTTTTTGGAATCAGAACATGTCTGAATACCTACCTGGTTGGCCTAACCTTTTAAGCATATACACTTCAGCCTCATTGTTTTTGACTGAAATAAAAACAAAAGTTGGCTTATTTTGCTTAGACCTTTAAAAACGTAACTCAAAGCCATTCAAAATGCACAAAAGTGAATAAGCAATGGTAGTTCTAAGACTTAATTTGACTGTTACCTACAGAATAGCCATCTTTACATTGGAAGAGTAGTTCTCAGGCTGGGAAAGTGGCTCAAGCGTTAAGAGCGCCTGCCTAGCAAGCCTGAGGTCCTGAGTTCAAACCCCAATTCCACCAAAAAAAGAAAAAAAATCGTTGCAAATTGCTGCAAGAGTAGTTCTAATCAGTTGATACATTTTGATGGGTGTGGTAATTCACACCTGTAATCTCAGCTACTCAGGAGGCAGACAGGAGGATGGTGAGTATAAGGCCAGAGGGGTAGCAAGACCCTGTCTAAAAAACCCACAAAAAAACCCAAAAGGGCTAACGGGCATAGTTCAAGTGGTAGAGTACTTTCGTAGTATGCACGAAGCCTTGGATTCAATCCCCATTTGCGGTACCAAAATTTTTTAAAAAACATTATTAGTAGCTAAGATGGTCATCTTTTCTCGGTGATTTTGAACAAGACGGGCATAAGACACCCTCTGCTGGCCAAAGGAAAAACCGTATTTACACAACAGCCAGATTATTCGGTTTTGTGACCCTAAAATATTTATTTCCTGAGTAAAGCGTATGCGAGAATTAATTTTAAAATTAGCATCAGGATTGGTGAAAATTGGTAAGTTTAATATTTCAAATCGTTGCATAAAATAATCCTAAACTTCACCTTCCTATAACTTCACCTCTGCACCCGGGCGACTCCTTTACCCCCACTGGCTAGCTTGCTCCCTGAGGGCTTCTAGGAACTGCACCGTTCCTTAATTATTTGCAGAATGGATTCGAATTCTATTCAACCTAATTTTTTTTTTCTTTTTGGCGGTACTGGGTTTGAACTCAGAGCCTCGCACTTGCTAGACTGGCGTCTGAGCCACGCCCCCAGCTCGCGTGCGCGGTATTAAAAGCATGCCCTAGGCCCGGGCAGGTGCGCAGTCCCGACGCCCGCGAGTGCCCGGCCCACGCCCCACGCCGCCACGCACGCCCTGAGCCCGTACTTCGCGCGCTCTCCCGCACCGCTGCGGCCATCTCGTTCAGGAGCTCCTCCACGACTGCCGGCAACGTGGCCATGGCGCCACGGGCAGCGACCTTCTCAACAGGCTCAGCAAACCACTCGTGACCTCCTGCCGAGGACTTCCGCCGGCAGCCAGAGACGGGGCGAGGCCGGAGTGACGCCGGTGTGCGTCATCGCGCATGCGGGCAGCAACAATGACGCGCACTGACGTCACGCCCCGACCAATCCGGCGAGCGCTCTGGCCTGGCCTGCAGTGCGCCGAGGACGCGGGGGGAGCATGTACGGGCTCCTGAGCCGGAGCCTGGGCCGAGGCCTCCTGCGGGCCGCGGGGCGGCGGTGCTGGGGCTGCTCGGCGCGCCCGCTCCCGGGGCGGGTGGGAGGCCTGGAGCTCGACGCGGTGGTGTCGCCGCACCGAGTCGTGCCTCGCGGCCGGGGCCCGGGCTTGCTGCCGCTGCTGGCAGGTGAGGGGCGCGGGCCGGGCGGGGCCGGCCGGGCGGAGGCAGGGCCGCAGGCCGGGCCTGGGGACCTCAGAGCCCTTTCCCGCAGCGCTCGCCTGGTTCTCGAGGCCCGCTGCGCAGGAGGAGGAGGAGGAGCAGCCGGGAGCGGGCGGGGCCGCCACCGAGGACGCGGCAGACGAGGCCGAGGCCGAGATCATCCAGCTGCTGAAGCGAGCCAAGGTGAGGCGGTGCAGCTTGGGGAGGGGGACCCGCCGCCGAGCGACCATGGGGCGACGGGAGGAGGGTTAGGTCCTTCCAGGCTCAGTCTGCTCCGTCCCGAAAGCCACAGCGCCGCCGTCCCCAAAGCAGGTGCACACGCACCTCGGCGTCCCTTTTGTCCGGACGACGGCACTGAGAAGGCCCCATAGTTGTGTTTATTAGTGAACCAGACACGCTGAAATGGCATTTTGTACGTGCTAAACCTTACGGCGTCCTGAAAGTGCAGTTTCGTTTTGGTTATGCGGCTTGGTTCTCTTTTTTTTGTAAATTCTTTTTTTCTCGGCCTCATTTATTTGCTCTTCCCCTCTCCTACTTAGGTTATCTCATCTCTTGCATTAAATAATCACCTTAATGCCAGTAACGTCCAAATTTGTATTCGCAGACTGCAGTATGCAGCTGACATGTCCTCTCGCCTGCGAGGCTCCGCCTCTCTCTCTGACTTAACCTAACCCCGAACTAAATTATTGCTCTTAAAATTCTTCCCATTGTTTCACCATCTTCTCTTTGCTTTCTAGCAGATCAGTTCTCAGCCTGGAAAGCACATAGCCTTTTTTTTTTTTTGGAGGGGGGTTCTAGGGTTTGAACTCAGGGTCTCACACTTGCTAGGCAGGTGCTGTCCAACTTGAGTCACTCTGCTAGCCCTTTTTTTGTGATAGCTTTTTTCAACATAGGGTCTCCAGAACTGTTTGCCCTGGGAGGTTTCGAACCATGAACCTCTTGATCTCTGCCTCCTGAGTAACCAGGATTACAAACGTCAGCCACTGGCGGCCTGGCCTCAGAGCCATTTTTAAAACTCAAGCTGTCTCAAAACAGAAGGAAATCAGATCATAAGGCCTCCTTGCCTGAAAACTTTGAATGACTTGACACTGCATTTGTGATAAAATCCAAACTCCTTGCTATGATGCGCAAAACCCTATGTTATCTAAACCAGCCTACCAGGCTCCCCATCATCCCTTCTCATCGCTTTCCTTGATTTCTGCTGAAGGTCTGTTCTCTTAAGCTTTACTCATTCTGGTTGACTCATTCTTATCCTTCCTGCCTCAGTTTTACTGTCACTTCCTTGAAATGCTTCCCAGACTCATTGGAGAAGACCCCTATCATGACATTGTATTTCCTAATAGGTCTTCTCATGAGTTGTAATTAAGCTTACTTGTCCTACCTGGTCACCTCCAGCCTGGGGGAAGAGAATAAAAAGATGGAGGGCAAACAGCTTCCTCATAAAATAGGATGTAAAGATTGCTCACATGCTTTCTGTCTGCATCTGTTTGTGAAAACGTTTTCATATGGTCTCTTCTAGCTCCAAGGGAGGCTGACCTCCCTGTCACCTCTGTGGACACCCTGTAATGCCTGGTGCATAGTAGGCATTCAATAAATGTGTGATGAGTGAATGGCTTCTTTCCGTGTATTGGAATATGCAGCCATATCTACTTCTGTCTGGCAGCATGTGCATATCTTACACTTCATTTAATGTTATTTTGTCTTCTTTTTTTAGTTGAGCATCATGAAAGATGAGCCAGAAGAGGCTGAGCTAATTTTGCATGACGCTCTTCGCCTTGCCTATCAGAGCGATAACAAGAAAGCCATTACTTACACTTACGATTTGGTAACTGATCCATCTGAGCTACTGAGGAGAGGGACGGGTGCTGGGGAAGGGTGATTCTCCTTCCTGATTTATTGTTCAGACCTTCAAGATGCGCTAAGGCTCTTTTTTGTTTTTTGTGGGCTTTTTTTTGTTTTTAACTAAGTTTTCTTTTGACTTTAATTTTTTTGTACTCTTGGCAGAGTCACTTATATTTCAATTCCAGATCAAAATAAAGCAAAAAGCGTAGCATTTCCTGCTTCAGTGGTGAATAGTACTAGATTTGGTCTGCTGTCAACAGATTAAATGAAACAAAATGTTTTTCATATCATTGCTTTGTGAGATTAGCTAGCTGGTGATAAATTATTTTCTAGCAGATTAACTGATGACATATTTTCTCCACTTTGAGCTATTTTTTTTTTTTTTAGAAAGTGAAAACAAAAGGGATTTTTACCTTAAAGGTTTTTAGAGTAGTAGGAATGCAATGCTTCAAACTGATAAACAATTTGTAATTTGCTTTCAGATGGCCAACTTAGCATTTATACGAGGTCAACTTGAAAATGTAAGTAGATCACTTTGTAATATCTTGAATTTGTGAAGAATTAGCCTTAAGAGAACCACATTAAGCAATGGTACAATCTAAGCTGCTGTCTCAAAGAGACCCCAAAATACAGTGGCTCAACCAAGGAGATATATTTCTGTTTAAAGCATAAGTCCATGTAGTCTAAAGACCAAAAGTAGGTTAGGCATTTCTGCTATCTGGTTCAGAAGTCCAGGTTCTTTCTAAAAGATGTCCTCATCTGTGTGTATGAGCTGACTCCCCTCCAGCCTGTACAAAGGGTGAAAGAATGGAGGGCAAGCAGCATCCTTATGAAATATGGTTTAAAAGTTGTTCACAGGTCTTTGAGTGTGGCTCAATTTGTAGTACTTGCCTACCAAACTTGAAGCCCAAGTTCAGCCCCTAGTACACTACAAAGAAAAAAAGTTATTCACATTCCTTTTCCCTCAACTCTTGACTAGAACTTTTCATGTGACCACATGTAGCTATAAGGAAGGATGATCTATTAAAAGTTGAGGGGATTTTTGACTGAAGTGATGGGAGAGTGAATATTAGTGGACAGTGTATTCCCACAGTGGTTTGGATGAGAAATGTAATCTCTGAGGTTGGTTTCATCTCATCCCAGGGTAGTTTAAGGTGCCAGAGGTGCAGAGTCCTGATATTTTGATCATTCTTTCTTCACAACACACATGCACACATTCATATTCTCTCTTTCTCTCTGTGTTTCTGAGGAATGATGCATCAGACTGGCACTTAGAATCCAGGGTCATAAGCTCGCTGTAGTGGTACACACCTGTAATTCCAGCATGAGCAGACAGGGACAGGAGGATAGCAAGTTCAAGGCCAGCTTGGGCTACATAGCTAGACCTGTTTCTTGTCTCAGAAAAATAAAACCAACAACAAAAGAATCAATGGTCTTATAGATAGGAGGGCCCAAGTAAAAGAAAAATCTTTTCCTTATGCTTTTAGGCAGAACAGCTTTTTAAAGCAACAATGAGTTATCTGCTTGGAGGAGGCATGAAGCAGGTAAGGATATTGGCTAGTATTGACTCCTCACTGAAGCAGTTTGCAGAATAGGCTTGCTTCCTCAAAACTGCCCCCTTCCCCAGGCTCCAGCATGTGCTTTCACTCAAAAAGGTGAAAGTACCCCTAGACCTATAGAAAAATGGCCAGTATTTCTCTTAATTCAAAATCTTGATTGCTGAAGAATTCACAATTGGCTAATTTCTGTAAAAACAATAAAGACTGTGACTTGAGGCCAAAACCAGTATAGGAGTTGATCTGAAATATTTTATGAAAAAATTTAACTTACTGTGAATTTCCTTCATTTTTTTTTTTCCTCTATCAGGAAGACAATGCAATAATTGAAATCTCCCTGAAGCTGGCCAGTGTCTATGCTGCCCAGAATAGGTAAGTGTAGAACCTAGGTGTTCTACACCTAGGTGTGGCAATGGCCAGGGAGTAGGGCTGTGGGCAGAAAACTCTGCCTTGGGGTATTATACAATCTTCTTTTACCTACAAGTCATCTGGGTTTCCAAATATTGGGTGTCACATTCAAAGTGTCCTACTCCTCATCTTTGCAATTTTTAGGTCTTTCCATTTTTGCCTCTGCTGTTTCCATTAGCTTGCTGAGTGGAGCAAATGGCCCTCTCACCTGTGCTAAAGCAATCAAATCTCTGTTCTTGCTTCCCATGAGCAAAGTTAGAGTTGGATCTTCCTTGAAGCAGAAGCAGTAATGTAAAAGCTGTTAAGGACAGTATGCTTTGATACAGGCATTGGCAAAGGAGTAAATGGTGAGAGTTGCTGTGTTTTTGTTATCCATTCTGGAAAATCAGTGGCTGTTTTTAAGGCCTTAAAAGAGGGTTTGGAATAAGATGCTTTGTTCAAGTGACTTGACCACTATCTTTAGAACATGTGGAGGTGATTAATAGCTAGGTTTCTGGAAGGGGAAATAGCCAGGAGTAGAAGTAGAGGGGGAGATAGTAAGTAAGTCAGGAAATAGATGCTAGTTTAAAAATGGCAGATGAGTCTAAATTCTTTTTTTTTTTTTTTGCAGACCTGAGGTTTGAACTCGGGGCTTTGTACTTGCAAAACAGGCACTCTACTGCTTGAGCCATACCTCCAGTCCATTTTTCTCTGGTTATTTTGGATTGGTGTATGTGTGTGGGGGGGGTGCCTCATGAACTGTTTGCCTGGGCTGACCTCAGATCTTGATCCTCCTGATCTCAACCTCTCAAATAGTTAGGATTATAGGCATAAGCCACTGGTGCTCAGCGAGTCTAAATTCTTTTTTTTTTTTAATTTTAATTTTTATTTATTTTTTCTTTTATTCATATATGCATACAATGTCTAAATTCTATAAAGAAGAAGAAGTGCCAGTTATATGGGAAGGCTTTGAAACAGTTTAGATGTGTGTCAAAGACCAGGAATACTGATGAGTAAGGGCCTTTCATTCTTCTCAGACTCTAGGTAGAGTTCAAAGATGTGTATATAGGATGTAGGCAGGAAACTGCTCTAGAGTTTGAGTGCGAGTTTAGGGAGAGAACTAAAACTAGCTTCCCTGAAAGTTTTTAGTTAGTGCTACAGATTTGGAGACATCAGATAGATGTTACACCAAGGGTGCTATGAGGTTTGAGGCCCTGATACTAGTCCCTGATACCCTAGTAAACAGCTCCTTCATTTTCATAAGGAACTGCCTAGTTTTCCTGCATTTTGATTGGACGCTTGATAGACTAGGACTTTTAGGGCCTTTGACTTCAAGACTGAGGAACTTTGAGCTTGGCTGGTGCCATAGAGCACTGCAGGTGGGGTCAGTCTTCCTTGGAGTGGCTTCATGCAGGACTAGCTGTTGGTTGGGTCTGAATTCCTTGAGTAAGAAGCCCAAAGTAATAAACTAAAATAGGATATTCATTACTAGTTTTGTAGAGGAAAAGCTTTTGTAGTATCCATTACTCATTAGCCTCTGATTTACTCTGGACTTCTCATTTTGTGTTATTAAAAAAGCATGAGATGAGAAAGGACATGGCCAGATCCTGAGGCTTAGGAAGGCTGATGTGAGTTAGGAGGCGGTTTGTAGATCTCTTTCTCTGACTATGGCATTCTGCCCCTTCCCCCATGTCTTACTTAGCCTCTCTCAATGTCAAGGTTTGGATCTGGGGAAGGAAGGGTACATTTTGTTCTGAGGATATATAGAAAAGCAGGGTCATCATATCTCACCTGACAAAGCACTAGAGGAGAAGACATCAGCTTTGTGGTGCCTCTTCCGGTAAGAAAGTAGTGCTAACACCAGAGGAAGAACCAAAGGTGAACTCCTAGATAGAGAAGGAATTTCTGTCCTTTTCATCCATATCGCTCTTTCTTCTTTTTTTTTTTTTTTTGGTGGTATTGAGATTCGAACTCGGGGCCAACACCTTGAGCTACTCCACCAACCCTTTTTTTGAGATAGGGTCTCACAAACTTTTCCTAGGGCTGGCTTCGAACCACAATCCTCCTGATCTCTGCCTTCTGAGTAGTTGGGATTACGAGCGTGAGCCACTGGTGCCTGGCTTACATCTCTTTATAAGAAGGCACCAGAGTCAGTCTGGTTGCTTAGTGTCCTCTCCAGTTGACTGCGAGTCCAGAGCTTACGGAGTCGAGCTAAATGTCTTCCCATGTCCCGTTTCTGTAAAAGAAACTTATCAAAGACATACAGCTTGGGGTAAGTGTTAAGCCACCAAAGTTCCCCAGGAGTGGATGAGGGCAACAGTTGGCATCCTCAATGCAGAAGGGCCTGAATCTCCTTCAGTTCAGGTGAGTGAGTATTACCTGACCAGGTGTGAGGTGTCCTACATGGAAAAATGGACTCACTTGAGGCTGTTAACAAGACCACTGGTATGTCAGTTATGGAAATTTTGGCAACATTCCTAGTTTTTTACATCTTAACTTACCTTAAATAGATGACTGAAGAAAAAAAAAAACCTTCTGAGGACCAGGTATGGTGATGCTTGCCTGTAATGCCAGGTATGTGTGAGGCAGAGATAGGATCATGGTTCAAGGCCAGCACAGGTTAAAATGCTAGTGAGACTATCTCAAAAAATAAACTGGGCATGGTAGCTCATGCCTGTGATGTCACTTACTCAGAGTAGAAGGATAATAGTCTGAGGCAGGCAAAAATGAGAACCTATAAGAAAAACAAGCTAGGCAAAAAGGGCTGGGGGCCATGACTCAAGTTTTATCATGCTTGCCTAGCAAGCATGAGACCCTGAGTTCAGAATCCCAGTACCAGGCCTGGTGCTGGTGGCTCATGCCTATAATCTTAGCTACTCAGGCAGAGATAAGGAGGATTGAGGTTCAAAGCTAGCTCGAGGCAAATAGTTTATAGGACCCTATCTCAAAAAACCCAATACCAAAAAAAAAAAAAAAAACAATGGGGCTGGCAGAGTGGCTCAAGTGAGGGAGCACCTGCCTAGTAAGTGTAGCAAGTGGGAGGTCCTGAGTTCAAGACCCAGTACTGCCAGAACCAAAATATCCAGTACCATAACCGCCCCCCCCCCAAAAAAAATTAAAAGCAACAACCATAAAACACTTTTGAGAAATGGCAGATTAATATCCTGGAGGGACTTTTCAGCCAAACTTCCCTCTTTACTGATAATGCTTAAACCTGAGCTGGAAAGATGGGGGTAAAGGGAGAGTTTGAAAAAAGGTGAACGTAGCTCATTACTGATTTTTGCTTCACAGACAGGAATTTGCCCTTGCTGGCTATGAGTTCTGCATTTCCACTCTAGAGGAAAAAATTGAAAGAGAAGAGGAATTATCAGAAGATATTATGTCAGGTAGGAAACCTCATTCTTCTGGGCATTGCATTTTCTCCACAAAGGGCTTCACCACTATAGATCAAGAAAGAGAATGATAACCATTCTGGAAAATAAGTGGATATATGACATCTCAGTAGAGGTTTTAAATAGGGTGTTTAATGACGTGACTGCTGCTTTTTTTTTTTTTTAATCCTCTTTTCCCCTTGGTGACAAGTTCAAAATTTATCTGGTAACTTTCTGTTAAATATAGTCTTAGAAATTGGAGGGCAAACGGCAGGCCTTTCTCTTATTTCTTAGTTCAACTACCAGTCAAAATGCTAAGTAATTACTGGTTCTGGAGATACAGTTCAGTGGTAGAGCACTTGCCTAGTATGTACCAGGTCTTGGGTTCAATTTCTTGCATTGAGAGAGGGAGGGAAGGAGAGAGAGAAAGAGGGGAGGAGAGGGATGGGTCCCTTTTCACTTTAGAAATGCAGCAGGTAAAGGAGGAAGAAAAAGATTCATTTCTGTAGTTTATCCTCATGGAGGCTAGAAACAGAATGTGGTAGGCAGGAAGCTTTCTAACTTAACTACAATTTGGGTTTCTGAATTTGGTTTGAAGTATTTGGAACTTGCACATTTGATATTCAGTAACTCATTTCATACCTGTTCATGCGAAGAGCTTATGAGATGCTAGGGATACTGCAGTCAGCTTTATTATATTAAAGTAAGGCTCCTTAAAAGAGTTGTTTGTATCCCCATCACTTTACTGAAACCATCTTTCTCAAAGTCACCAAATGCAGCAGGCATTTCTCAAGCCCATTTACTCATTAGCAGCTTTGACTCAAGGGATCACTGTTTCCTACAGGAAGTAGTTTTCCTTGGTTTTTGGTCACCTCACTGGTCTTTCCTCTGCCCCTTACTGACTTCCAAATCACAGAAGGTCCAAGGGCAATCTTTGGCCTTCCTCTCTTTTTCCTCTAGCCTCATGCTGGAGGAGGTGTCATGTAGTCCCATATCTTTAACAATTAGATTTACACCATCAACCCCAGCATCTCCTGAATAGCATTTATGGGTATGATTGCTACTTAACATCTTAACTTGAATGTTGAATGGTCATCTCTCACTTAACATGTCTCTTGATTTCTGCCACACAGACTTGTTTCTGTACCAATCAGCCCTAACATTTAACTAGTTGCTTTGGCTAAGAACTTGAGAATTGTCCATGATTTCTTCTTCAGTTCTCCTACCTACTTTCTAAGCAAGATATATTGGAAAAACCATCAAAGTATATCCATATCAGACTATGTCTCATCCCCTTGTCTCCAGTGCTTTCTGTGCTGGACATCTGTAATTTCATAGGTTTTCCTGCTTCCTTCCCTTTACTCCCTCATGTAATCTATTACCTATGCAGTCATCAAAGTGATTCTTTTTTTTAAGACCTCAGTATTTTTGTGACACCTTTAGAATAAATTTAGAATCCCTTTGTAGACCCTATAAGGCCCTTCATGATCTTGCCCTACCTAGCTCTCCTTCATTATCTTCTGCTCTCCACTTGCTCATTCCACTCTTAATATGCTCCTCTTCCTGTTCTTGCACATTCCAAGCTCATGCTCTCTCAAGGCTTTTCACTTGGTGCTCTCTCTCCCTACACTGTTCTCCCACATCCTTCCACGCCCAGCTGCTTCACTTCATTCATGTTCCTGTTTCTTCCTCAAGAGGACCACCTTGACAAAAAGTCATCTCTTCATCTTTGTCTTTACTTTGTCTTATCATCCTTGGAAGTACAGGTGTATGTGTGTTGTGCACCAATAAAAGCACATTTGTATCAGCAGTAAAAGTACATTTGATTGAGATGTCATCTGTTCTGCCCATTACTAAATCCTTAGTACCTAGAGCAGTGCCTGGCACATAATACAATTACTATAATTGTATTAACAATAATTAATTATTAATTTATTAATTTAATAATTAATTTATTATTGAATAAAAGAACAGAAGACCAACAGGTAAATACAGCTTCAGTGCAGTGTGGGAGTCGGTCCTGTGAGGAGACCTTCAGAAGGCGAAAAAAACCTCTTAACCATGGAGCATGTGAAGTATTCACATCCTTGCTGTTTTGCATTTGTAACATTGATACTAGTTTCTTTTTTTCTTTTTTAAAAGGGTTCACATATTTATTACTGAGCCATACTTAAGGTTATCTAAGAAGAATTGTATTTCCAGTTTAAAACACTCAACTGTCTAGTCAGTGTTGACACTCCAGCTTGATACCAAAATAATTGCTGACCACAAAAGAGTTTACATGTGTGTCAGCTCTCACAGTTCCTACAGACCCAGTTTGGTTCTCCTCCAGGGTCTCCTCTTAGGGTTGTAGTTGATTTTGTTACCAGTTTTTATCTGAATCTACCAGGGAATGGGACAATTTTGCTGTTGTTTCTTGGCCAGGAATCACTGGATTCTGAGAAACATGAAAAGCTGAGCCAAACACATGCACCATGACGGTATACAAAAGCAGAAAAGATACTAGTTTCCTAAGAGCATAAGTCTATGTACGAGTTCCAAAAGTTAACAGCAGTTACTATTGAAGAAAATTTCGAAAAGCCTTATAAGAAAGTAAAGATTCTTTATTAATTCTTTATAATTCTACTACTAAGAAAGAGCTGCTGTTTACTTTTTAGTGTGTATCTTTTCAGACTTTCACCCCATGCTATTTTCGTTTTAAAAAATAAGTTAGGGATTATATATAACCTGATTTTCAGTAATGTTGTAAAAATATAATACTATATTTTTCTAGGCAAAGGAATTCTTGTTGGATAGCGCAAGCTAGTTTCTATTTTCTTATTTTTCTAGAGAAGAAATAAATTCCTACTTAATTTTGAACAAAACAAATCAGTTGTCAAATTCATGTGCATTTTTTTTTGGTATAACCACTCCTAAATAGTATAGTCATTAGGATAATTTTCCAAAGTATATCAGTAGGCATAGAACAGAACTCCATGATAAATATCAAAATATAGATGATGATTTTCTCTGGTTTGTCAGTATATAGGGGATCTATATTTTATTTGTATTTTTCTGCATATTCTGTAATTTTCTACTAAAAATTTATATTTTTCTCTTTAAACTTAATTTCTATTATGTATATAGTATAAAAAGTCAATATTACAAGACTTAAAATAGCATGTCCTTTCTACACTTCATCACTCCATCTTTTTTCAATTTCAACCTTCTGGTATTTACTTTCACTTTTCTAAAAGCATAAAATTGCTGTCTCTTGATTGATTATTTTTAGAAGCTATTGACTTACAGAAGAGTGAGGATTGAGCACAGTTTTTAATGTGTCTGTCTACATTATGAATATGTAAGTAGTGTTACTTGCTGTGCCAAGAACATGTTGGCCTCTCATTGGCATGTCTCTCCTTGGGCATTCTGTTTTCATCTTACTATCGTGTGTTTAGTCACTTACTACTATTTTTTTCTACTTGGCATCTCCACAATTTTTTGCTATCCCTCATTTCCCTTGATTATACTTTGCATTTATTATCCTGATAACTTGATATCTTTTTCATCTCTTAGCTTTGACTATAGTGGTATTTTGGGATGGTGTGAAGATAAATGCATGTGTTCAGTCCAGAATGGTATATATCTACATCATAGTTTGGTCTTCTGTAAGTGGACATCAAGGTAGTGTCTAAATCTGTTTCTTCAGAGTACATTCTTGGGCTGGGATGTAGCTTGGCGGTACAGCGCTTGCCTAGCATGCGTGAGGCCCTGGGTTCAATCCCAGCACCAAAAAAGAAAAGACAAAAAAAAAAAAAAAAAACCTCTCCCCAGAGTACATTCTTAACACTAAACTTCCTGGATCAAAACTAGTACATTTTAGCTGGATGTGAAGGATCATCCCTATAATCCCAGCACTTTGGGAGACTGAGACAGGAGGATCACAAGTTTGAGGCCTGCCTAGGCTGCATTATGAGACCCTATCATTAAAAACAAAACAAAACAAAACAAAACAACACACTTTAAGGTCATTGATGAATGTTGCCAAATTATACTTGAAAAGGCCTATGTTGATTTATGTTTTCTGTTTATTATACTTTGTGACTTGGTCAAATTAGTTAATCTCTGTGTGCTTTTCATCTCTAATCTGAGATTAAGAATAATGTTCTCAGCAGATCTTTAGGAGTTTAGCCATCTTAGTGGTTGCTAAGTGTTAATTATTAGTTTTTATTGTGGTAAGGCTTTGTGTTCCTTCTTCCTGAGGCTCATTGATTTTCATAACCTATATCAGCTTCATGATACAATGATGCATTTTTTTTTTGATAAGCAGTGAGGCTTATAATTTTTTTTTTTTTTTTTGGCGGTACTGGGGTTTGAACTCAGGCCCTTGTGCTTGCTAGGCACGCACTCTGTCACTTGAGTCATTCTGCTAGCCCTTTTTGTGCTGGCTATTTTTGAGATAGGGTGTCTCTTTATGCCCAGGCCAGCTTAGATCACAGTCTTCCTATTTGTGCTTTTCCATGGAGCTGGAGATGGCAGGCTCGCACCACTGTCCCCAGCCATTGACTGAAATGAGCGCTCATGAACTGTTTGCCTGGTCTGGCTTCAAACTGCGATCCTCCTGATCTCTGCCTTTCAAGTTATTGGTTATTTTTTGTAAGGACATTAACCTGTAGGTTTCCTCCCCTTATTTGTAATTATGGAATGGTTAATTGTTTTTTTTTAAACAAAAGCAGAATGTGAAAATAACATTTGTACAGTTTAAAAAATTGTGAGAACAGCAGTGATGCCACATAAGCAGTTCTTAGAAGCCATGTGTGCCTGGTCCTAGTACCATTTTCCTTTCTGAGATGCTGTTCTCTTAAATCTTATCTCCAGCATTCATCTTTCTCTTTAGTTTTTACCTCTGTAACCCTTAAGACAGTATCATTTAGTTTTACATGTTTCTTATTAACACATAAATTACTCACACAATATGTAGGGCTTTTTTTTTTTTTTTAAAATAACTCAGGACCACTCACTTGTGAGCCATACTT